TACTCCCTTCAAACTGTCGGAATGGGCAGGACAGAAGTCATGTTGGGACCTACAACCACATGGGCTATAGGCAAATTTTAAAAAAACAGGTTTTTTCTTGGCATGCATTTCTCTGAGTTCCCTCTTTTCCCATGGTTATTTGATATTTTGAACCTTGGTTATGGGGCAAGATGACATTATTTACATGAACTTAAAGTTGTTTTCCAGCCAGCCTGAAGGTGCAAACTTGCATGTGCTACCCAGACCCTGAGATAAGGACGGGAGCAGAAACCAGATGGCGTCTTGGTGAGACCTTGCACCTGAGAGCTTACATGAAGTCCTTGCTGCTCACATGCCCCTCCCTCCTGTTTTTCATTTTCCCACATTCCATTCCCTCAAACCTCTCTTCAAAAACCCCTCAGTAAACCTGAGTCTTTGATATGGCTTTAGTCTGGCCATTCTCTCTCAGGTTTTCCACGGGATATGGCCTTCACCTGGCCATTCTCTCTCAGGTTTACCAGAGAGAAGGGTTAGCCTAGCATCTCTCCTCAGGTCACTGTATTCCTGAATAAAAGCTGGCTTCCATTATCACCAACATTTGGCTTTTGTTTGTTTTTTGTCTGGGGGCAGGCAGCCAGACCTGTGAGTTTGGTATCAATTTTGGGGAGCCTCAGACAGGAGCTGAGCATGCCCTGTAACAAAATCAATGTTCTTTAAATATTTTTTCAAAGTTTGGCGGCAGTTCTCAAACTTTAGCATCCATAAGAATCCCTGGAAAGGCTTATTAAAATAGATTATCAGACCTTACTCCAGAGTCTCTGATTTAGAAACTTTAGAATAAGTCCATGAATTTGCATTTTTAACAAGTTCCCAGGTGATGGATGCTAAAGTTCTTGGTCAGGAGGCCACACTTTGAGAACCTGTGACTTACAGCTCTTTGTAGGAGAAAAGCAGAGAAAAAAATCAATGGTGACAGCTTCTCCTCCTACTGCCCCAAGCAACTAAGCTCTATTCCCAAACTTGTATACCCCACAGAGCAAAATAAAAGCCCTCCAGCTAATTAGATCCAATCTTCTTGAAGGCATTTTAGAATTCCCCTTTGCGGGGAGGAGGGAAGAGGAAAGGAAAGAGGGAGGGGCAGGGGGCTATGATCTTATCCCACTCTTCCAACAACATATAATATTCTTCTTGAGAATAATTTCGGGTAGATATTATGTTCTCCATCTGTTAGATTTATAGGAGAGTTTTGTTAACCCCTTACAGATTGCCCTGGGAAAGATGGCTAACCTTTTTATCCAGCTCTAATGACAATATTATATTTATGTTTCTGTAAGATCCCTATGGTTATCAGAAGGAAAATTCATAGGAATGATACAAGATTGTGGACACAGAGCTCAGTTGGGAGACTGTTAAGTAATCCAGGTGAGATAGAGAGGAGAGAGAGAATAAAGAGAAAAATGGTTTTGAGAGTTATTTTGGAAGTATAATTGATAAGACATAAAGACTAACTGTATATGCAGAGAGAGGAAAGAATCAAGGATGATTCCTGGGTTTCTAGACAGGACACAATAGAGTTCATGGATTTACTAAGAAAGAAAACACTGGAGAAAGAGATGAATTAAGGAGAGAGATGATAAACCTCGTTTTAGTCATGCTGATTTTGAGATACCATAAAGACATCCAAGTAGTTGTGTCCAGCAGGCAATTATATATATGAATACATAGGTCGGCCCTCAGTCGACAAGTCTGGACTGGAGATATAAATTTGGGAGTCATCAGCATACAGATGGTAATTAAAGCCTTGGGAGAGGATGAGATCACCCAATAAAGGCACACAAAGCAAGATCAGGTTTTTAACTGAAGAGTAAAATTCAGTGAATCATGGGCTATCTTCATGCAGAGTTAATCACACCTGAGAAAAGCCTTATTATTTGGTTGATGTGGCCAAATTCAAAGGCACTATCATCATTTACTGAAGGCATTTTATTTAATCAAAGGGCCTAGTGTCAATAATAATGATGATGATGAAAACAAAAACAATAATGATTAGCACTGAGTTCTTATTATGTGCCAGACACTGTTCTAAATGCTTTCCACGTAGTACTAATTATCGAAAGTAGTTGCAACCCTATGAGGTAGTTATTATTATTAGTCCCACTTTACCAATGAGGAAACAGAAGCAAAGAAAAATTAAATAACTTACTCAAGGTCATATAATAAGAGGCAAATCAGGATTTCAACCCAGGAAACTGGTTCCAAATTTGTGCTTTCAAAAGCACTCTACCCATTGATTAAACCCAAATGTTTTATTCAGAACACATATAAAGCCAGGGGAAAAAATTAACACATTAATGATTCTGGCACATCTTCTATTAAATGAGAAATTTTTACACACAATGCTGTAATTTACTCATTAACTATAAAACTCTGTAGATTATCTTGAAAACCATAAATGCTTACTATCTGCATAACACATTCTTCCAACAGTTTTGTTTTGAACTTTTCCTTACAAACACAGACAAACTATATTTCAGCTCTTAACACCACCAATCTATGCTTTTATATAACTACTAATAACCAGTATGCTAATGTAAAGATCATCTGTTCATCTTTTCTTAGAAATGAAAAATAATAATATTCAGGTAGTTAAATGTCACTTTTCAAAATATTTTATTTACATTAAATAATTAATTTTCCAATATCTCATGTGAGGTAAATGCTATTATTTCCACTACATAAAAATGAACTACTAGCCCAGGGGGTATCACTTTGTAGAATTAGAACCCAGGCTACACAACCTTTTCAGTCCCTTCCTCAATTTAAGCCTTCTTGTAAAATTCAAAATATCCAAAGTTCACACAGATAATCAGCAAAAACACTATCATATACGAGAGGTCCGGCTTACCTCAAAAGATCTGAAAGAGTTATTGCTTCTCTCTGCCAAAGTAATGACAGATAGCAGAAAGCAAGTGTCCGGGGCACAGTCATCTTCACAATCCCCTTCTCTCTTCGTTGTGAGTATTCAACTCCATCAAGAGATCCAGAACAGATAGATGCCGTTTCTTAGGAGATAAGTGGAGATTTTTTACAAATGCAAGTAACAACAACAAAAAAATGCAAGTAACTATTTTGGACAACAAAATAAAAACAACGGGGGGCCGGCCCGGTGGCGCACTGCTACAGTGCACCGCTTGGGAGCGCGGCGGCGCTCCTGCCGAGGGTTCGGATCCCACATACAGACCGGTTCCCGCTCACTGGCTGAGCGAGGTGCGGGCGCGACACCGAGGGTTGCGATCCCGTTGCCGGTCCCGGTCCGGTACGGGCGCGACACTGAGGGTTGCGATCCGTTGCTGGACACACACACACACAAAAAAAACAACGGAAAATCCAAACAGGCATTTTAAATATCTTAAAATTAGGTTACAATTGATAATAGCCTTTACAAAGAGCAATTTGGTAATAAAGAGCAACAAAGGTTTAGAAAGGAATCAACCAAAAAGGTAATTGTGGATTATCTATGAGAACGGGAGCATTCTAAACAGGGATTTGAACTGTTTGAATTTTTTAATAGTAAACACAATGTTTAAAATAAATAAAAGGATAAATAATTACAAATAAAAGCAAAAAATGTATAACTCCTTTGACTCAGGCCTCAACTCACCTTTCCCTTTCTCAGAGAGGCTCTCCACAACTCTTTAGCTAAAGCAGCACCTTCTCCCATCCCCACCCTCCAGGCATCTTCTACCATATGACATTATTGTATCCTTATTCATTCATTCATTCACTCATTCAATAAATACTTATTCATCTCATTCTTTGTGTCACTCTTCTATGTCTCAAGAAATGACAGTGAACAATGTCTCATCCCTTGGAACTTACATTCTAGTAATGGCAGACAGACCAATAAACAAGCAAACAAAAAAATACAATTGACAAACGGTGGTACTACACAGAAAAATAGCAATGTAGGGGTATACAAACAGATGGGAAGGGAGGAGAGGTGATATTTTATATGGGTGGTAAGAGAAATCTCTTTGAGAAGGTGACAATTGAGCAGAGACCTGAATGAATTCAAAGAATAAGTCTCAAGGATCTTGGGCAGAATACCAAATGCACCAGCAGGAGAACCTGCAGGAACAGCAAGGAGGCCAGTGTGATAAGACATCATGGGTGACAAAAACTGGTAGGAGACGATATTAGAGACAGGAAGAAAGTATATTATATAGGACTTTGCAGGTCATGATTTCTATATTGGATTTTATTCTAAGTATAAGAAGTTTCTGGGGAGTTTTAAACATGGGAGCAACATGATTTCATTTATATATTTAAAAAGGTCACTCTGGTTGTTGTATGAAGAATGAAATTATAGGAGGGCAGGAGTGGAAACAGATACCACTCTTCCAGGACAGTGATGACAGGGACTTGGAGCAGAGTGGTAGCACTGCGGGTGGTGAGAAGTGGTTGGATTCCATACAGATTTATTTATTTTTTAAAAAATTTTTTCTAGATACATTTTGAAGGTAGAGTCAAAAGGACTTACCGACAGACTGGATATAAAGTATGAGAGATAAAGAGAAGCCAAGTATGATTGATTCTAAGGTTTTTGGCCTGAGCAACCAGAAGAATGAAGATGCCATTTACTGAGACAACGAAGATGGCAAAAAAGCAGATTTGACAAGAGACATCAAGAAGTTAGAATTGAACATATTAAGTGTGAGATGTTATTAACTATACCAATGGAAACATTAAGTAGGCAGCTGAATATAAAAATGTATAGTTTAGAAGAGGTGGAACTAAAGATAGGAATTTTAGAGTTGTCAGGATATAACTGGTGGTTGGTTAAAGCCATGGTATTAGGTGAAGTCATCTAAGGAGTGAGGACAGATAGAGAAGCAGGTCAAGGAATAACATGGAGAAACCCCAAGTTTTCATGGACATAAACCCTTGAAATCATTCCAGGAATTCCCTTTTTCCAAATCCTGTAAATCCTTTCTTCGTAGCATTTATCAGTAACTGAAATTTTCTTTTTTATTTGTGCATTTATTGTCTATCTCCTTCCAGTACAATATAAACATCTTGAAAGCAGATGGTCTTGCTCACCACTGTGCCCCCAGTGCCTAGCAAAGTCCCTAGCACAGAGTAGGAACCCCGTAAATACTTGGTGACAAACTGGCTCAACAGTTCTACTTCTAAGATTTCACCCTAGTGAGATGATTTTTAAAATATGCAGAGGTTTAAAGTCAAGGAATGTTGTGTCAACACTGTTATTATACGAGAAGAAATCAGAATAACTTAAGTGCCAGCAATAGAAATCTAATTAAATTAACTCCATGCAATGGTATATCACCTAACAATTTCTATAATGCTTTATAGCAGTGGTTCTCAAAGCATAGTCCCTGGAACAGCAGTATTAGCATCACCTAAGAATTTAACAGAAATGCAAATTCTTATATCTTAACAAGCCCTCCAGGTAGTTCTGATGGATGCTAAAGTTTGAGGACTACTGTTTTAAAAGAATATAAGGACATGGCTATCCATAAAATATTGCTTAAAATATATACATATGCACACACTTTTTTATATAGTCCTGACAACATGTAAGGACTTCCAGTTAAGATGGCTGATTGAAAGCACATATTAGCCTATGCTCCTCTCCCACTACAAAAATTATTATATACGAAAAAAAAATTTTTTTTGGTGGCTAGCTTGTACGGGGATCCAAACCCATGACGGCTCAGGAATTGGTTAAACCAGGTACCCCTATAAACTGGATGAAGGCAGAGATAACATCAGGAGGACTGCTTGGAAGTCTGATTAAGGAACAGTAAGACACCCAGATTCTTACCCCAACTCCACGCAGCTAAGTGATTGCCCTCACCAATCCTGGAAGCAAATTGGAAGTTTCTTCTCTAGAGATAGTAAAACAAAGGTCTCTAGAATAAGGCAAATCAGTCACATGCACAGTTGAGAACTGAAAACAGGACGATTAAGTTAAAATTTACATACTTACAACCCCTCACTCCTCTCCTGGCTTTCTTCTTCCCACCCAGTTCCCAGAATATTGACAGCTAGGATTACACACCCACCAAATAGGAGAGATTTCTCTGGGGAATCTGATCAGCTCAGGAGGTAAGATTTAAAGACAATAATGCTGAGGGTTCACTAAGACGATAACCCAGCTAGATCACCCTTACGTGCAGAGCAGAGCTGACAAGAGTCACCATGGGTACAAAGCTTTCAATCGACATTTTGTCTGCATTTTAAAATAAGAATAGCTATCTTAGGCTCACCAAACATTTGAAGAAAGCCCCTAATATAAGGCAGAAGCCAAAACAATCAAATTGGGGGGGCAAGAGGGGGGAGAATATCAACACCCTCCACGAAATAAGAAAAGATGCTCCACAAAAATGAGAGAGCAAACCAGGAAAGATGATGAAATGGGATCCAGGAAATAAGAAATCCAACAAAAGAGCAGTGATGGAATCTCAGGATGGTGGTAAAAAGAGATCCCCAAATCAGCAGGGCTATAGGTTTAGAGACATCATTCTAGGTGGGAACAGGTCAGAAACTCCAGAGACACTTCTTCCAGAAGATGAAGGTGATAGAATACCTAAGGTATTGAGAGGAGATTTAAAGAACTGGGAGGAAGTGGGAGATACATTACTAATAAATTGCAGATTAGCAATAAATAGAGAGAAAACTAAATAAATAACAATGATCAACTCTGGGAAAACCAAAGGATATATAGAAAAAGTAATCACAGTAAGCTACATGGCTCAGTTCTAAATAGCATTTATATATTTATAATAATTAAGGCACAAAACATTGATCGAGTAAAAAATTGTAATTATATTGGGAAGACAGAGAATGAGAAATTCAGTCATGCACTGGTGACTACATGGGTAGGTGGGGCAGTGAGAGATGTATGAAAGAGCCAAGACTTCATCTTCCGCAGTGGGAATTCAATAGCTAATGTCCCAAACCAGAAAGCAAGATATAATGCGAGAAGCATGTGATATAGAGATGTGAAAGTTACAAAAGAGTTAAAAATGCATGTCTCTTGTAAACAGGACATTTGGTAGGACAGTGGACTACAACTTTTTTATTTTTGCAATTTTTCGTAACAAGACTTGTACAATTATTTGAATTACATGCATGTAGAATTCTGATTAAAATTTTAAATAGTTCGCACTTTTACAAAAACAAAATAAAACTTTCCCTTTTTCTATACAGTACTTACATGAAGAAAAAACTTTCTGGAATGATCTACTCTAGTAAAAGTGGTTATTTCTGGGTAGTACAAAAGCTGACGATTTCATTTTCTTTGTGCATATCTGCATTTTATAGTTTTGTATTAAGAGTTGTATTAATAATCACTTTTAATGTAAAAGCTAAAAGAAAGCTCTAGGGATCATCATTTACTAAAAAACAAACAAGCAAAAACCCTCAACACAGGTAAACAAAACAATCATGCTTTAAAAGGAATTAATATCTTTTTCTAAAAAACTTGGATGGTTTTACAGTCACAGTCCTCTGGGACTGTTTTTTTTTTTGTGACCGGTAAGGGGATCGCAACCCTTGGCTTGGTGTCGCCTGCACCGCGCTCAGCCAGTGAGCACACCGGCCATCCCTATATAGGATCTGAACCCGCAGCAGCAGTGCTGCTGTGCTCCCAAGCGCCGCACTCTCCCGAGTGCACCACGGGGTCGGCCCCTCTGGGACTGTTTTGAGTCTTGCCTGAAAACATGGAGATGAAAACTCCGGAGATTTGTTGCTGCCCAATTATTCTATGATTCTAACATTTTACTTCTTTGGACAGAAAAAGTTACTTATCTGGTATCTGTGGCACTGTACAACCCAAGAAATGTGGATATGCTGATAAAAGAGATGTTTAATCTTTGGAGGACAAGGAGCTTGTGAAGAAACAGTCCATACAAAAAATTTTACATAACTACACTTAACCCAGATTTCAATAAATAATCCCTAACAACAGAGGGTTTGGAAGCTATTTCCCAAAGAAATCAGCACACATCAAGATTCCTGTAATCTATGATAAAAGCCCAGTCTGTTCGCTGAGGTCTATCTTCCATCACAATTTTTAAAAAAAATGTAGTGAGGGAACAACTAAAATGAATAAATGCTTTAGGGAGAAAGTCTATATCTATAACCTTAAGTATACTCCTTATCTATTTTAAGTTATGAAATTAAATCAGAAAGTAACACACACATAATATGGTAAGTTTTACTCAGCTTACTTTAGTCTATGCTTAGAAATTAGGTATATCATTTTTGACTTGTCTATCTTATGATATGGCTAAGTTCTAACATTTTTATGCTATGACTTTTCTTTAAAAATAAGGAGCCCACACATATATGATCTTTTTTGAGCTAGCCTCCTTTCTGAATCCATTTACTCTTTATCTCCTTTTAAAATCATACAAAAATGCTCATGTGGAGACAAATGTGCCTTTTTAAAAACTGCACTAAGAATTCATTTAATTTACCTTTCTCTTAGCCATATTCAGCAAGTCATTCTTCCTTGTTAGGCCAAGTTCTCTTCCTTGGAATATCAAGAGATTGGACTAAACCATTTTTAAGATGCAATACCAGCTTTAAAATTCTAAATGATTCAGTTCTCATTTTTACCTGATTGTGATGCTTTGGTGATGGGAAAAGGCTTCTCACTGTGGACGCCAGACTGAGACTCCCCTCCACTTTCAACAAAAGGAGGACAACTGACATCGCTCAGCAGCTCAGGCTCACTAGCCCAGTCTGAATGATTTAGATTATCTTCTAACACCTGTGTGCAAAATAATATAAATGAATTATTGCGTAGAAGTTTAAAAGTTAATTTCTGTGAACTTAAACAATTTCTGACCATCTCAAATACCATAAAAGAAACCACTCTAGAGAATTGCAACTGTCTACTAAGTCCTTAAGTGTGAAAGACGGTTACTTCTGAAATGTGCCCCAACAGCTCGCAGCAATACTTCTCAAAAAAGCGCTATAGACAGGGGTGAGTAAAGAAACGGGCTGCCAGCACACGAGTCAGGTCTCCTTCTTCTTCCATGAACATCGCTCTTGCAGTGCTAGTATCTTCACCAATGAA